CTGTGCGCTTGACTCAAAAGCCTGCCCCCGCCCAGCTTAACGGTTCCCAAGTTTTTGCTGGTCTGCGCCGTGGTGCGCTCCAGCATCCAGGGCACGCACACATCGGGCACGTTAGTCATACCCGTGCCCATCGCTCTGAAGAAGTCATCTCCGCGCTCCCACCTGATGAGGAAAGGATCGCGCGTGGCAACCAGATGGCCGATTTGTTAGCCAAGGATGCCCTTTCCCTCCACCCCCGTGCCCCTCCCGCCACCTCGGAGTTGCATGGGCTTATGGTCAAACGCCTCCGCGCCGCCATTCGTGTGGCGGCGGCGGTCCTTCCCGCTTTCCCGCTCCCATCCTTTAAGAAGATCAAGGTGCCGAGCATAACGCGTGTTGTGTCGTGGCACGAGTGGTGTCGTGTGGGGAGTTGGAAGTTGCGTTGTGCTCGGTGCCTTGGGGCTTGCCCTGAGCAGGACGAGCGACCCCTCAATCAGTGCCCAGGCCCCCCTCCGCTCCTTGTAAAGTTGCGTGAGTGTGAAGGGGTGGGCGGCCACGTCCTGAGGGCGTGCTGGACGGCACGCGATCAGGTCCTAGTGTATTGCTGTAAATGCGGGGCCTATGCAGAGGAGAGGTCGAGTGGCGCCCTCTTCAAGACTTGTCGCCCTGCCTTGACGCCCCAGCGGGCGTATGATCGACGGCGCCTGGAGGCTGGGCTTCACCCGCACTCGCGTCGGCGTGAGGAGACCCTCCAGGCGCCGACCCCTCTCGAGTCCGACCTCATTCGGCGGTTGGTGGGTGGGACGGCTGGGTGGGCGGACGTCTCCTCCTCCTCCTCCGTCACTGCTGCCATCATTCGGAATCCTCGAATGGATGCGCTCGTGGCCCGTTTGCAGGCCAAGTTTTGGCAGTCGTCTTCGGGCTCGTAAGCCCTGCTCGGCGCGGGTCGGATTCGAGTTTTGCCGCCTTTTTGGCGTGTCGGATCCGTTCCTCCGTGTCGTGTAGGCCGCCCGTCGCCGTACCGTTGACGTTCCTTCTTGTTTGGGTCCTCCTCCTCCTCCTCCCTCCTCCTCCTCCTCCTCCTCCTCCTCCTCCTCCTCCTCCTCCTCCTCCTCCTCCTCCTCCTACCCTCCTCCTCCTCCTCCTCCTCATCCTCCTCCTCCTCCTCCTCCTCCTCCTCCTCCTCCTCCTCCTCCTCCTCCTCCTCCTCCTCCTCCTCCTCCTCCTCCTCCTCCTCCTCCTCCTCCTCCTCCTCCTCCTCCTCCTCCTCCTCCTCCTCCTCCTCCTCCCCGTGCGCAGGCGGCGGGCCGCGGGCAGGCTCGCGACGCGGAGCCGGCGCCCTGAGCTCCAGTCGGGCGCGTCCCCCAGACAGGGAGAGCTTGGGCGCAGCACCAAGCATGCCCGAAGCAAATCCTCCAGACACGTTCCAGAAAGGATCGACACCTAGTCCCCGGACTGTTTTCTGACTATGCTTGGATATGCCCCCGGCGGAGGGGCAGGCCCGACTTGATCCTGAGCAGGGACCGACCGTCCCGGCACTCCTGCAGGCCCACCACGAGATGTTCTCAGAGCCCAGGAATGCTCCGAGAGCAGAAACACTGCTCTAGGCCCGATGCGTTACAACAAGACAGTCCCAAGCAGAAATGTTCCAAGAACATCTGGTTGAAACAACGAAAGGTTCTCAGAACATTACTTGGTAGCCCTGTAGGCAAGCCGGGACGCTTCGCCACTGCTTGAGGCTCGGATCGGAAGCGCCTCGGATCGCATACGAAGCGCCCCGAAGCGAGTAGGAATCGGATCGCCGCGCTCTGCTGTCGCTGGCCCCGGCCGGTGCCGGTGGCTCTAGCCGAGTCGAATCGAATCGGAATCGCGGCAGCAGTCGGAATTGAACCGCGTCGGATCGGGTGGTACGCGGCCCTGGGAGGCCTCCGAAAGGCTTCGGAGAGGCCTCCTGATAGATGCCCGCAGGCATCCACGGGACCTGCGACCTGCAACGCAGGCACGGTGGCGGGACGGGCCGAAATGAGGGGCCAGAGCAGCATACACCACCACCGCCAGCAAACAAATAGCCGCACGCATTATCTGACTGAGGGACGTGCCAGGCGACGCCACGCCCCCGCGACGAACGGGAACGCAGCGCGACACCGGGGCGCCATGGGAGAGACCTTCCCAACACAGAAGCTGCCCGTCTTGGTGCGTATAAACATCTGGTACCTTTGCGTTGGCTCTGATGAGTCTCGTTCCAGCCCCCGTGCGCGAGGGGGGGCCCTGTCGTCGTTCGCGGCGAGGCTGTGACAGCGGGTTCCCCACAAGAGCCACTATGCACAATGACGAATCGCGAGCTTTCTCCCGATCTCGGTGGTGGTGGTCATGCACCGTGCTCGGGTCACGAAGCCCACGAGATCCGCCGACACTAGATCTGCACAGGGTGCCAGACGTTAGCTTGCTCCGGTCCTTACAGAAGGTTCCCAATGGGGATTCGGCCGATGGGGTTTCGGCCGGTCCCGCCGACCACCCGCGAAATTCGTTCTCCATCGGCCTTCCCCGTGAGGTAGCCGCAAGAGTGCCTCCGAGAGGGCTAAACATTGCCTCCAAGACGGTCTAGATTGCCCAAAGAGCCCAAGATGGCCATAAGATGTTTCCAAGACGGCCTAGGATGAAACTAAGGCGGCCCATGATGCACCCATGACGTCCCAAGATCGCCTCACGATTGCCCAAGACAGCTTAAGAGGCCCCCAAGAGGGCTCCGAGATGACCTCCAGGAAGCAAACATCATTGATCTTCCAGAGTAGGTTGCTTCATTGATTTTAGCGTTCTCGCCGTTTCGAAATCCCGACGCTCCAAAACACCCCCTCAAGCCCCCCAAATCGCCGACATCCCAAGACGTCCCCCCCAAGAGGCCCGCAAGACTACACAAGAGAGCCCCAAGACGGCTCCATAGACCTCCAAGACGGCCCTAAAGCGCCGGAATAGGGACCCACGACTGCCCCAAAGCGAGCGCCAAGACGACCTCCGAAGGCCAAGAGGTCCCTCAGAGGCCCCAGGCCTCCAAGAGGCCGCCCAGAGGCCTCCAAGAGGCCCCAGGAGACGCCCAAGAGGCTCCCCAGAGGCCTCCAAGAGGCTTCCAGAAAGCCCCCAGGAGGTCCGAAGAGGGTATCACGAGGCCTCTGCTTTTCCTCCTCCTTCTCCTCCTCCTTCTCCTCCTCCTCCGTCTCGTCCTCCTTCTCCTCCCTCTCCTTCTGCCGAGGGAACACATAGCCCAATAGCTTGGCGTGGACATTTCCAAATCAAAAAGGCAAGGGGCTGCGGTCATTCGCCGTAGAGGCGACTTCGATAAACTCGACACACGCGACAACCACGGAACAGCCACGGACAACCACGCGACAACAACGGAACAACCGCGGGACAGCCACAAGACAACCACGGGACAGCCATGGGACAACCGCGTGACAACCCCAGTACAATCACGGGACAACCGCGGGACACAATCATCGGGACAACCATCGGGACAACCATCGAGACAACCGTCGGGACAGCCAACGGACGACCACGGGACACCCACACGACAACGACGGGAAACACAAGGGACAACTGCGGGACAACCACAGAGCAAACGCAGGACAACAACGAGACAGCCGCGGGCGAAACCAGGCACGCCCCCGATGACGGGGAGACGACTCGTTGTAGCGCGGCCCGGGGCTAGCTAGTGCAGGAACTCGCGCCAACGCGCCTCGCCAGCATGCGCGACACAATTCGAACCGACTTCCCAGCTGGGCGACTCCGTTTCGCATCGGTCTCGCCACCAACCCCCAAAGAGGGACAACAAAGCAGAGCCCAAGAGGCCCCCCGTCCATAGAAGAAGAACAAGAAGCACACAAACACAGACTTTTGGCGCTCCGCGCGGATGCCTTGGACTCGCAAAAGCTCATGTTTATGCGTGCTTTTCTTCCTCGACGCAGCGCAGAGCCCGAGAGCCCCCCCCCCCCCTGTCCAGCCGACTGGCAGCGCCGACTTCTGCCGCGCTGCGGCCGGAGGAGGAGGAGGAGGAGGAGGAGGAGGAGGAGAGGAGGAGGAGGAGGGGGAGGAGGGGGAGAGGGGGAGGAAGGGGAGGAGGAGGGGGAGGAGGAGGAGGAGGAGAGGAGGAGGAGGAGGAGGAGGAGGAGGAGGAGGAGGGGGGGGGGCGCGTGCTCGCGGGAGGCGTGCGCTCGCGTGCAGCTGGTGTCTTGGGCGGGGCGCTGGCACAAGAGAGGCGGAGAGGAGGGGGGGGCGGCAGAGCCGATCGGGCAGGAGAGGAGGCCAATGGAGAGAACAGGAAGCAGAAACCAAACCAGAGGAGAGGAAGGCGAGGAGACCGGAGGAGAGGAGACCAGAGGAGAGGAGACCAGAGGAGAGGAGACCAGAGGAGAGGCAGGAAGGAGACCAAAGGAGAGGAGACCAAAGGAGAGGCAGGAAGGAGACCAAAGGAGAGGAGACCAGAGGAGAGAACGGAACAAGAAATCAAAACGTCCCCCCCCATATCAGAACCACCAAGACACGCGAAGTCGTTTGGTAAGCGCGCCCAAAGAAGGAATCAAACAGGGCAGGGCTGTTCAGCAAACGCCCAAGGCCGTTTAGTACACGCCACTTGTCCGGTACGGATGGTTTCTCCTTGGTGAAAAACGGCAGAGCCGATCGAGTAGATGAGAATACCAACGGAGGGGAATAGAAGAAGAAACAACGCCATAAACATAAACAGTTTGGCGCTCCGCGCAAATTTCATAGATCCGCGCTGGAGAACCCATCTCTGGCGCGCGGAGCGCGCCAGGGGCGGCGCCGGAGGCGCCGCTTGTTGGCCCAGCGCGGATCCAAGAAATACGCGCGGAGCGCCAAAAGTGTATGTTTATGTGCTTGTTTGTTCTCCGGCAGAAGAGAGGAATGAAAAACGTGCGCAAGGGCACCTCGCAAACCACAATACCTGAATACAGCAACCAGGCGGAAGGACAACAGGAGAAAAAGGTCGCATGACCTGCCTGCAACATAATTTACAAACTTAAACCCCAATCGTCGTCGACGTCGTAATCGTCGTCCACCGGCCCGAGCAATTTCCCCAAAGTCTTATGGGACACGCCGACGATGTCCTTTACCTTCTCTTGCGTATTACCCAAATGCACCAGGTCCATCGCCCTGGCGAAGCCACGCAGACGCGTCATGCCCCTGAGAAATTCGGAGGCGGAAAGGTCGCCGCTGTCGTTTTGGTCCAGGAGGTCGAACAGAAAGTTGGGGTCCTTTGTGGCGTAGTCCATGGAGGCAAGCCATAACCTCACATCGTCGTGCATGAGGATCGTGGCAAACTCGTTTCGGCTGACCCTCCCGTTGCCATCACTGTCGGCCGCCATGAAGAGCCTTTCCAGCTTCGCCTTCTGTGTTCGCATTTGCTTCGACTTCTTGAGGACCATGGTCAGGTCATCTGTCATAGCAACCTGAAAGGTCTCTTGGACAAACATCGCATTGATCACCCCTATGACGGCGAAGCCAACAACAAACTTGTGCAGCAAGAACATCCACATATACCACTCGCTGACATTCTCGAAGAGCACACGGGCAGGCGTCGGCCAGTTACCCATCGTCATCTCGAAAGTGGTCAAAAGCGATCGTGTGAAAGAGCCGAAATACACAAATACTTCTTGGCGCTCGTCGATCGGGCGCCTGTCGTCCAAAAAATAAGTTGCGAACAGTATCTGAGAGATGACGACAGAAGTAAATGCTTGCAGAGCCAGTAACAGAACAGCAGACCAACCGAGTGCTTTCCAGCATCCGTTCAGTGCCCTCACCATGTAGTATAGATTCTCGACATACCTTACAACCTTCACCAGCCTGAGGAAGCGCAACATGCGCACAAGGCGAGCAAGCCGCAGGACCTTGGCGTTAAAGTCTTCACCGGTGAGCTCAATGCACCAGCCTACCAGGATGAACACATCGAACAAATTCCACCCGTCACAGAAGAATTGCGCTTTAGCTGCCAACAATCGGAACAGCACCTCGCACGCGAAAATGCCGCCGAAACACACTGACAAAACTTGCAAGACATCAGTCGTATTCGGCCAAGCCGTAGAATCTGGATCAGCGTAGCGCGGGTACTCCAGCTCGTACCCCAGGGTCATGCCTTCACCCTGGATCTCGAGCGCCGTGACCAGGCAGAAGAGAAACAGGACAACTGCACTCCCGACCTCGAAGACCACTCCGTCCACGAACTCGCCCAACCAGCTGCGCTTCCTGTGGCTGGGCTGGCTCTGGAGGATGATGTGGTCGGTGATCCTCAGCGACACCTCGACGGACGGCCTGCTGTCGGCAACGGCTGGCCGAGGGCTCTCCGAACTGCCGCAGGCGGACGCGTTCTCCTGCCCGCCGCCCTGGAGCCCCACTGCTCCGTGCGACTCGGCGCAGGAGGCCCCCCCCCGCTCGCGCTCGGAGCTCAGCCACCGCACCGGCTTGTCCGGGCCCTTGTGGTCTGCGCCCCGCCGCCCCGAGCCCAGGCAAGCGCGGGGGGACGGGGACCACGACGCCTGGCAAGATGTCTGCGTCCCTGGGCTCAGGTCCCCCTCCTTTTGAGCAGGGGCCGACCGCCCCGGCATTCCTATAGGCCCACCACGACATGCTCTTAGAAGCAAGCAACGTTCCCCAACACAAAAACCATGTTCTTAGAACGCAGACCCGACGTGTTAAAACAAGACAGCCCTAGCCGCATAAACGTTCGAAGAACATCTCGTGCAAACCACAGAAGTTGTTTTAGAACATTCCTTGGTGGGCCTATCAGCGAGCCAGGACGCTTCGCCACTGCTTGTCTCCTCCTCGCGCCGCCCACGCCGTGCCTGCAGGAGGGCGGAGTGGTGAGCCGCCAGGAGGCGTGCCAGTGCCTTCTCGAACGCTGGGCTGCGCTCCGCGGCCAACCAGGCCTCCAGATCTTCGTCTGGCCTTAGGTCGGGCCGTCCCCCTCGAAGGGGACCCTGGTCGAAAAATGGAAGACTCGTCAAGCAATGCTCCAAACACGCTCAACAATGGCCACAACATCGTCCCCCCAGACTATTGCTTGATTGTTTTTTGTGTAGCTCATTTGTTCAGGACAATTTGTTGACTGTTTTGGGATATTCCCCCTGCGGATCGGGTCGGGCGAAAGGGGGGAATAGCAAAGGGGGGGGTGAGAATCAGCTCGCGTCAGAGTGAGGGGGCCGAGCGGTCATTCACTGTCCCTGGGTGCGTGGCTGAAGTGGAATTCCCCGGTGCGGATTCGTGTTGCTGTTGTTGTTTGTTGTTGTTGGTGGTGTTGTCGGTGTTGTTGTTTGTTGTTGGTGTTGCTGCTGCTGCTGTTGTTGTTGTTGTTGGTGGTGTTGGTGTTGGTGTTGGTGTTGGTGTTGGTGTTGGTGTTGGTGTTGGTGTTGGTGTTGGTGTTGGTGTTGTTGTTGTTGCTGTTGTCGTTGTTATTATTGTTGTGGTTGTTGTTGTTGTTGTTTGTTGTTGTTGTTGTTATTGATGTTGTTGTTGGTGTTTGTTTGTTTGTTTGTTTGTTTGTTTGTGTGTTTGCTTGGTTGTTTGTTTGTTTGGTTGTTTGTTTGTTTGTTTGTTTGTTTGTTGTTGTTGTTGATGTTGTTGCTGTTGTTGTTGTTGTTGTTGTTGTTGTTTGTTGTCGTCGTCCCACCCGCAACCCGCCCGCGACCCACCCTCGACCAAACCCGCGAAACACCCCGCGACCCACCCGCGACCCACCCGCGACCCACCCGCGACCCACCCCGCGACCCACCCGCGACCCACCCCGCGACCCACCCCGCGACCCACCCGCGAACCCACCCGCGACCCGCCCGCGGCCCACCCCGCGACCCACCCGCGACCCACCCGCGACCCACCCGCGGCCCACCCGCGACCCACCCGCGACCCACCCGCGACCCACCACACGACCCACCCGCGACCCACCTTCGACCTAAACCACGTTCAAGGTACATTTTCGGCGCCTGCGGCTGGTTTTTTTTGCATTCCTTCCGGGTGGAGAGCCCGCGACCCACCCCGTGACCAACTTGCGACCAACCCGCGACCCAAACCACGTTCAGGGTACAAACCACATTTTTCCGGCGCCTGCGGCGGGCATCTTTTGCAGTCGCTTCAAGTAGAGAGACCGGCCCACCCGCGACCTCGTTCAGGGTACAAACCAATTTTTTCGGCGCCTGCGGCGTTTTTTTTTGCATTCGTTCCCGGTGGAGAACCCGCGGCCCCCCCGCGACCCAAACCACGTTCAGTGTACAAACCAATTGTTTTGGCGCCTGCGGCGGGCTGCCTTTGCATTCCTTCCAGGTGGAAGTGGAGAGCCCGCGACCCACCCGCGACCCAAACCACGTTCACTGAGCAAACCAATGCCGCACAAGCGCGGCGGCGGATTTTTGCATGCCGTCTGAGCCCGCAAGGACCTCTTCAAGCCCCGCGCATCCACGCCAGCCCGTCCAGCAAGTTTGCCCTGGCGAGTTGCCTTGATCAGAGAAGTCGGGGAGCATAAAGTGGAACGTTGCTGTTATCTTGGGAAAGGGGGGGAGGCAGGAGGAGTAAACAGGGGACGAGGAGGACGCGGAAGAAGAGAGGATGTAAGGAGAATGTGGAGAAAGAGGAGGAGGAGGAGGAGCAGGAGGACGAGGAGGGGGAGGAGGGGGAGGAGGGGGAGGAAGGGGAGGAGGGGGGGATGATGATGATGATGATGGACGACAATGGGAGGACGATGGTGGAGGCCGATGAGGGGGAGGACGACAATAGAAGGAGACGATGATGAAAGGACGAGGGGGGGAGAGGGAGGACGAGGAAGGGAGGAGGAGGAGGACGAGGTGGAGGAGGAGGATGACGATGACGATGACGATAAGGACGAGGACGAGGAAGAGGAAGGAGGAGGAGGAGGAGCAGAGGAGGAAGGAGGAGGAGGAGGAGGAGGAGGAGGAGGAGGAGGAGGAGGAGGAGGAGCGCCATCGACAGGGAAGGTGGGGGCCACGAGGTCCGCCGGCTCGACGACGCCCGCGTCGCCCGCGCCCGCCCCCTCACTCTTATCCGCAATTGCGGGGTGCTACGATAGCTGATTTTCCCGGCGCCTCCCGGCGCCGGAGGCGGCTTCTGTATCGAGGAATAGGCTCCTCGGTGAGGCCAAAACCAGGTGTATGCAGCAAATTTCGGAACCCCGCCTTCCCCAATCCCTCCCTTTCGTCCGGCCCTGAAAAACTGAAAGGATCGTCAAACAATGCTCCAAACATGGTCAAACATGGCCAAAAAGTCGTCCGGCTCAAGTATCTTGTTTGTATGTCTGATCTTCGTTCGGCCTGTTTGTTGACTGCTTTGGGAGATCCCCCCCCGTGGAGGGACAGGCCCGACTCCAGCCGGGCCTCGTGCGCTTGCCCGGCGAGCCCATGCCCGCGAGCGCCCGCGGCCCCGGCCTGCGGCTAACCCGCCGCACGGCGCCACGGCGGCCGCGGCGCCCGCACCGCCCGGGCTGGCCCCGGCGGCCGCCCGATCGCTCGCGGCTGCCCGGGGGGGGGCCACAAGGGGAGCCCCCCTGGAGTTTATGACGGGGCCCCAGGACACACAGAGAGATGGACACAAAAACACAAGGGTTCGCCAGGTGTTCCGACATCTTTTGGGGCTTGTGCCTCTTTCCCCCCCACTTCCCATCTCTTGCCATGCTCTCTTGGGAATCGGCGATTCCGTGTGTCTGTGGGTCTGTTCCCCTCCTGAGTTTCGTCGGGCCTGTCCCTCGACAGGGGAGGCATTCAAAATAGTAAAAAACAATAGTCTGGGGACGATGCTTTCACTATGTTTGAGCATCTTTTGAATAGTTTCTGCGTGTGGTTCATTTTTCGCCCAACATCCCCCCTGTATAGAGAGACAGGCCCGACCCAATCCTGGAGGCAGAGGTCCCCTCGCAGCGCTGGAGGCTGCCCGCAGGCCCCCGCCCGTTCCTCTGGCGTTTGGGGGCTTCTTCGCGGCGTTGGCCTTCTGGGTGGAGGCTCCTTTCCGGAGGTCCCTGGCGGCCCCTGGGGAGCTCCAGAGTTAGGTCGGGCGTGTCCAAAAGATTCCCAAAAATATTAGAAAAATACTCCCCAGACTATTTGTTTTACTATTTTGGAACATTCCCCCTGTAGAGGGACAGGCCCGACTTAACCCTGGGGAGTTCCAGAAGGCTCCTGGAGGCTCCTGAAGCCCTTGCCCGCGGCGCTCGAGAGGATGCCCCTGTGAAGGCCCCGTTGAGGCGCTGGTGGTCGTCGTCGTCAACGTCGTCGTCGTCGTCGTCGCCGGAAGGCCCCAGGAGCTCGCCCTGGAGGGCTCCGAGGCACCCTGGAGGCCCACCACGCCGACGCCAAAGCCTGGAGAGGCCCCCGTGGCGCACTGGCCGCCACACCTCACGCCGTCACGCGCCGCGCGCGCGGAGCGCAGTCGTATCCGAGCCCCTGCTGCCGCCCCACTCTAGAGGAACACCCCTCGAGGCCCAGGGAGGCGAAGCGTAAGCTCAGGTCGGGCGTGTCCCCCTACGGGCGGATCTTCCACGAAAAACATTAAAAAAAAGAAGACATCAAAACAGGTTCCAACATCATAAACATGATGGAAAAATCGTGCCCATACTTCCTTTTTACTATTTTTGGATATCCCTCCTGTAGTGGGACATTTAAAGGGAAATTAGGACACACAAATAAATACACACAAATAAAATTAGTCCCCATATTTTCCCATATTTTCTGGGTTTTTGTCTTCCCCCCCAATTCCCGTATTTTCCCATATTTTCCTGGGAATCGAGGATTAATTGTGTCTGTGTGTTTTTTCCCCTCCTGGACATTTCAAGACGGAAGCGCAAACCTCTCTGCGCAAAGGGGGCGGCCGGTGTTCCAGGCACGGCAGGGGCCACGCAGCCGTAACAACCCGGGGGGGTTTCGCCCGGCCTCGCCGCACTCGCCGCGAGTTCCCTCGTCGGGCCCTCCCAGGACTTGGCGGCGAGCACAGGGGGGCACAGGGGGGAGGGGGGGAGCCTTCCCCCCTCCTCCTCCCTCCTCCTCCCTCCTCCTCCTCCTCCTCCTCCTCCTCCTCCTCCTCCTCCTCCTCCTCTTCCTTCCCCTCCTCCCCTCTCTTCCTCTTCCTTCTCTCATCTTCCTCTTCCTCCTCCTCCTCCTCCTCCTCTCTCCTCCCCCCTGCTCCTCCTCCTCATCTTCCTCTTCCTTCTCCTCCTCCTCCTCCTCCTCTTCCTCCTCCTCCTCCTCCTCCTACTCCTCCTCTTTCAACTCCTCCACCTGTGCGCGCCGCCAAAGAAGCCACAGACGGCTTGGGGAGGTGAGCGACTCGGGTTCGGGGGACTCGGGTTGGTCCGACAGGGCCGTCAGGAAAATGACACGACCAGTCTGGCATGTGGTGCGAGCTCCCACTGCAAACGTCCCACGAAAAATGGACCCTCGAAACCCCAGACGGGCCCGCCAAACAGCGCCGGCAGGCCCGAGCTCCGGCGAACTCGGGCCTTACGCTTCTCCGATGGAGGCAGAGGTGGACCTCCTGCCGCTGTCCGTGCTCGGGCGCCACCCGGATCAGGCGAGAGCCCCTCCCGGGGATACTCCACCGATGCCCCCTGGGACGTCCTGCGCAGGGCCTGCACAAGCACTCCTTGCTTCGGCGGCCGGCTCCCAGAAACCCAGGAGGGCACCGGCGGCACCTCTGGGGCCTGCCTGTCGAGGACAGCACAGCCCACCCCCACACCCAGGCAAAACCCCCCACCCGACCTGATGATCTTCGGGGGAAAACAGACCTCCCTCGCTTTTGACCACCCTCGCTTCCAAGAGATACCAAACGATGCCAAATCGCAGCCTGTACTGCTCAGGCCGCCTGACGAGGCGGCGCGTGGTATGACTTGGTTCTGCCTGGACGCGAAAGCGGGGGAGGCAATTCACGCCCTGGGATCCAGGGGTCCTGGCTGTTTCAGAGATGTGGCTGGATGCCGCTCGAGACGTGGACACGCTGGAACAGATCAGGGAATGACCACCCGGCACACGCGCACATCGGAATCGGGCCGCGGCCGCCCGCGCCAACCCTGAGGGCCCCGCCCACCGGCGGACACGCGCGGCTCGCCTCGTCTCGTGCCGTCCTGGCCGGGGGTTGGTGCGGATGTGTTGCCCCAGAGGCGAGCTCGAGAGATCACCCCCGCCCTCAGCAAGGAGCCATCTGGATCTCCAGGTCGGGCGGCGGTGGTCCTGGCCGGGGGTGGGGGTGGTCTGTGCTGTCTTGACCTCCTAGTTCCGCAGGCTACGAAACTCGGAGTTGCAGGGGGCGCCGGGCCCCCCCGGCAATAACGGATGCCAGCGACGATTCTGCGCCAACGCGGCGATATTAACTTGTGCTGCTCGCCAAAAGCTTACATGTGACCTGGCCTTGCACTTTGGTTAATTTTGATTGCATCATCTATTTGCGCATTCAAGGTCAGAGAATTGGCCCCAAATTACAGATTATCCCAATAATGCGCGCGACGCCATCCGAATCCACGGGGGCAAAGCCGCGGCGGGCGAGGCACCAGCGAAGGCACAGCCACAGACGGCTACTGGACAATGCACTCTGCCACGGGGGGGCCAACAGCAACGGCCGACCTGGGCGCCCCAGGCCAGCGGGGCGTGAGGCACTGGAGGCCATGGGAGGCACACGGGAAGCCACGTAGCCATAGGCCGCCCGGCAACGACGGCCGAACGCCTCCAGGCGGTTGCTCACAAGCGCCCGCAGGCAGTAGCGCGCGGGTGCCCTCAGGCGCGCGAGCGCGCTCAGGGGCACTGCCAGGAAGACGCTCACAGGAGCGCAACGGCGCTCGCGGGCGCGCAGGCACCGACTGGCATCGCCAGGCGGCCACCAACGGTCGCACGCGCCCGGTGGAACGACAGCAGGCACTGCCCGGCGCCCGCGGGCGGACACCCCAGCCTGCAGAAGCGCACGGGCGGTCACGGACATCACCGCCCGCTGCCCTCGCGGCCTTTTTATGCGCGCGCGCTGCCCGAGAGCGGCGCGCGACAGACCCGAGCCCGCGACAACCCGTGAGACTCCGCGAGAGTCTGCCGCGAGCCCTTGTCAGAAACGCAGCAGAAGCCGCGAGAACCCGCGGGAATCCGCCAGAAACCGTTGCTGGAACCCAACAAAATCCATGAGAATTTGTGCGGATCCGCGAGAATCAGCGGGCGAGTTCTTGAGCCTTCGGGGAAACCTCCGGGGACCTCGGGGGCCCTCCGGGGGGAGGGCCCTGGGGGCCTCTGGACGGCGTCGTCGCTGTCGCCGTCGCCGTCGCCGTCGTCGTCGTCGGCGGCCTCCAGAAACCTCTGGGCTCTCCCGGTAACCTCCATGGACCTCCATGGGCCTCCGATGTCTTTGACAAGCATGCCAAGGAAACCTCGAGGAGAACCTCGGACGGCCTGGGCGTCGCCGTCGCCGTCGCCGACGTCATCATCGTCGACGGCGTCGGCAGCGTCGTTGTCGTCGGCGTTGTCGTCGTCGCTCTGGCGCCGCGAACGACTTGAGCCCCCCTGGCGACGATGATGACGATGACGCCCGAATAGTAAAATGGTTCGGTTTAACCTTCCATGCACGGGATGACACGCACAGAAGGGGCGCGCACTCGCGTCCGAGGCACGCCATCGCGACTGAAACGCGCCAGGAGGTAAAACAGCTGAGCTTCAATGCCCAACTGTTGGGCCTCGCGCCGAATGCGCGCCCGCGGGCCTGCGTTTGCAAAACGTAAATCATGAGGGCCCACCGCCCCTTGCATCTCCGACCCTCGTACCGCAGGCTCCCACCGGCGAAGCGCCTTCGTGTTTACTTACTCTTCAGCGCGCTGCCCCCTCCGAGTCCGCTCGGTTTGCCTGGCGCCGAGACCGCAACACACACGAAGAGGCGCATCCATATCCAGACTCAGAGCACGCCCAGGGAGGCACACGAGGCAGGCCTGGCATCAGCTGGGCACCACAGGGAAGGGAGTCGGAGGAACCGGCCAGCTTCCGCTGGTTTCCGCCGACAGCAAGGTTCAAGTGGAGGTGGCTTTTGCGCACCTGCGCCGCACAGCCCCTGCCCCGTGCGGCGCGTGCCCTCGCGCGGCACACCAGACGGAGGCCAGCTCGCCACCTCAGGCCGCGCAGAGCGACACGACCCTCGGCCCCAGAAAGCCCTCTAGGGGCGCCTGGGAATCCTCGGGAGGCCCTGTTGAGGCGTTGGTCGTCGTCGACTTCGTCGTCGTCGTCGACTTCGTCGTCGTCGTCGTCGTCGTCGTCGTCGTCGTCGTCGTCGTCGTCGTCGTCGTCGTCGTTCGCGCGTCGGGGAGCCCCGGGAGCCCGCCCTGCACGCTTCGAGGGCCCCTGGAGGTCCACGCCGACGGTCGAATCTCGAGGGTCCTCGCGACACCCAGGTTTTGCGGCTCGCAAAAGGGGGTAGGGGGAGGGGGGAAGGCTTCTCAGAAGCACCCTGCTTCTTAGAAGGCCTCGGCCTTACGCCTATAGAGAAGGCCCGCGCCTT